TGCATTTATTGTATTTTTTTAATTGTTGATAATTATTGCTTAAATAATTACAATTAATTGCAACTTGTAATTGATTTTATAATTAATTGATAACAGATCGCCAATTTAAGTACAAAATGAGGTTACCTCCACTATATGTTGTTAAGGAGGAATTATTTCTCTGTTCAAAATGTTTTTTGTTAAAGAAAATATGCTCTGTATTTGAACGTTGATACAGGGGAAATTGTTACTTCATCAAGAATTCATTAGCTCTGATTTTGAATCATAGGATGGTCGACTCGACTCGAACAAGTGATAACTAAACGTACGACAATTGGTACGCATCTCAAAAATCACTCACAACATGATTAATACTCGAAGAAGGATATCCCAACGTAGAAGAAACAGAAACTAGGCAAGATATCCGAATGACAAAAAGAGTAATACCATTCGTAATTTAAAACAGTTTAACCTGATCGACCCCTTTCTTAAGTTTCTTAATATATGTGCTTCATATTGAAAGTTAGCAAAAATGTTAATGAACTTCTTTCGTTAGGGCTTGTTTGGATTGAGGGGAATGAGGGTGAAGGGAAGTTAGGGGAACCATTCACCTCCATTCATCTTGTTTGGGAACATTAGGAGTTGAAGTTATTCACCCTAGTTCCCCTTGATTCACCCCCTAATGGTATAAAATTTGTTACCCCCCAAATTGAGGTGTAACCAAGGGGAAGGGAACTCCCTTCACTTCTCTTCTATTCTCTCACCTAGTTTCCCTTAACTTCCCTTCACCCCCTACAAATCCAAACAGGCTCTAAACAAATAACAATCACATATAAAACATTTTTAACTTATGCAATTGTTTGTTAAATTTTTACTTTATGCAATAATGCTGAGTTCTATATTAGACTTATTATATAGGAACCACTTTTAAAATATGGTCATTTTATATAAACCACATTTAATTTTCAATGTATACATAAACTAACTTCGAGGTGCTTTTTGTTGTAATTAATCACCTGGTCCATTTTTAGGTCAAGTTTCTTGGTTTTTCTCTGATAATTAGTTATTAAATACCTGTTTAAAGAAAGTACATAGGCCAAAGACCTATGATATATATTTATACTAATCAATGTGAATAGGTTGAGTACCCAAGAGTCACCCTCACTTAATGGGGTGTTACATCACCATAATGGGGTGTGAATGGAGGGATAATGAGGGGGAGGCCAAAGGCCTCCCTCATCTCATAATACTCCCCCTTATCCATCCATTACCTTGAGTTTAGCTTATGAACACTTCAGGGTTCATAAAGCTAATGGGGTGGATACTTCTGGATCCAGAGTAAACTTGTTTGCCTCGTTAAAACCTTAGCTGTGGAAAACCCAGTGGGAAAAAACCATCAGCCTAAGGAAAAAGAGTACAACCCATAGGTTACTCCCCCTGAACCATACAAGCTTCAGGCTTGTAGGTCTTTCAGATGTCTCATCCCTATTCCTTTTACAAGTTTTACAAAAGTACATCTGGGCAGAGCCTTAGTGAACAAGTCAGCTAAATTATTACATGATTGGATCTGCTGTACTTTAACTTGCTCCTCCTCTTGAAGATCGTGCATCCAAAAAAAATTGGGAGATATGTGCTTCGTCTTGTCACCCTTGATGAAGCCAGACTGAAGTTGAGGAACGCAGGCTGCATTGTCTTCAAATATAGTAGTTGGCTCAAGGTCACCAGTCTTCAGGCCGGTAGACACTAAGATGTGCTGAATGACAGAACGAAGCCAAACACATTCTTTGCTGGTTTCATGGATCGCGAGGAGTTCGGAATGGTTGGATGAGATTGCTACAGTGGTTTGCTTGACAGACCTCCAGGAGATGGCCGTACCACCGAATGTAAACACAAATCCGATTTGTGATTTCTCGGTGTGGGGATCAGACCTGTAACCTGCATCTGAATAACCAATTAAGGTGGGAGACCCACCCTTCGGGAAATATAATCCCAGGTCTATAGACCCTTGGAGGTAGCGCAGAAGATGCTTAACTCCATTCCAGTGGTATTTTGTGGGCGCTGCACTGTATCTGGCTAGTAGGTTAATTGAAAACGCTATATCGGGACGCGTACAGTTAGCCAGATATAGTAGTGCTCCAATGGCACTGAGGTAAGGTACTTCAGGACCTAGCATTTCCTCCCCCTCTTCCAGCGGACGGAAGGGGTCGTTCTTTACATCCAATGATCGAACAACCATTGGTGTACTAAGAGGATGACATTTATCCATTCGGAAATTTTTAAGTAATTTCCGTGTATATGTGGATTGGTGTAGCAGGATACCACCCTTAAGGTGTTCAATCTGTAAGCCAAGACAATACTTTGTTTTGCCTAGGTCTTTCATTTCAAAAGTATTCTTAAGGCTTTCAGATATCCCAGCGATCTCTGCAGGAGATCCAATAAGATTTAAGTCGTCGACATAGACGGCGACTATAATGAATCCTGTTCCCGATCTTTTTATAAAGATACACGGGCAGACTTTATCATTTGTGAATCCTTGCGTAGCAAGGAACTCACTTAGTCTGTTATACCACATTTTCCCCGATTGCTTAAGACCATATAATGATCTTTGAAGCCTAACAGAATAGACGTCCCGAGGTCTATCTGCTATCTCTGGTGGAATTTTATATCCTTCAGGGAGTTTCATATAGATATCTTTATCTATATTGCCATATAGATATGCAGTCACAACGTCCATGAGCTGCATTTCTAGGCCTTCCAGAGATGAGAGGCTTATTAGGAATCGGAAGGTATTCCCATCCATAACCGGAGAATATGTTTTTTCATAGTCTATTCCCGGTCTTTGGGAAAAACCTTGTGCTACAAGCCGTGCTTTGTAGCGCACAACCTCGTTGTGTTCATTTCTTTTTCTGATGAAGACCCACTTATATCCCACAGGTTTTACACCTTTAGGTGTTTGGACTACTGGTCCAAAGACTTCGCGTTTCAAGAGTGAGTCCAGCTCTACTCCTATTGCCTCGTTCCACTTTGGCCAATCGTCTCTGCGTTTACATTCCGCTAGAGACCGTGGTTCGATGTCATCGTCGTATTCAGTGACGTGAACGGCAATATCGAACGCAAAGTCGTCGTCGACGACTGTGCTTTTTCTGTCCAGTACCTCCTCAGTACGTACAAAATTTAATGATGTTTCTCCTATTTGTTCCTCTTCAGGGGAATCTAGGAGTGGAGAGGAAGCTGGTCTGAGCTCAGTATCCTGTGTTGGGTTCATCTTTATTTCTCTTCAGGATTTTTTCTTTTACGAGGGACTTTTGAAATAGCTTCTTTCGCGAAGGATTGTGTGCGTCAACGACTGTGCTTTTTCTGTCCAGTACCTCCTCAGTACGTACAAAATTTAATAATGTTTCTCCTATTTCTTTTCGTGCTGATAACGTGTTTAAAGCAAGTACATAGGCCAAAGGCCTATGATATATATTTATACTAATCAATGTGAATAGGTTGAGTACCCAAGAGTCACCCTCACTTAATGGGGTGTTACATCACCATAATGGGGTGTGAATGGAGGGATAATGAGGGGGAGGCCAAAGGCCTCCCTCATCTCATAATAATACCAAATCTTTGGCCTCCCCCATCTCATAATAATACCAAATATATTAGAGGGATGATTCTTAATTAATTTAGGTTAGATGAGTCAATTTCAAAAAAAAAAAAAATTAAGATCGCTTCCATATACTTAACTCTTCAGATTGCACAGTTAATTCTTCAAATTCTCTCTCATGTTGATTTCCCAATTTAATGTACGGTATGAGGGAGGATCACCATTCATTAAGATCTATCTCTGTTCATTGCCCACCAAGTGCTCGACGCTGGATCAACGTACTTTTTTTGTTGATTAAAACAAGATGGAAATTTTAGGGGAAATTTTGTTATGGTGCAGGATTCGAACCCTTCTAGAAATCTTAAATCACCACAAGGTATGGATTAGGTTAACCTAATCTAAAGATCCAATTTTATTGTGATTTTAAGTTATTGAAATCGAGCTGGAAAAGATTGAAACTTGATAGGTTGCTTGCAAAATCTCATATATTTCTACAGTAGTCTCCATAACATGTTGATATCGAAGCAGTTGATACTGATTCTGTCATCTATCAACATACTGTGTAATAAAGGGCGTAGTACTATGAAAGTTTCTAGCAACATTTACCATCAAATATAAGGCTCCAAATCTTTTTTTCTCAGGAATAGAATAGAGTTGAATTCTTTAACTCCTTAGGCTATAATCCATACTAATGTCACTTAGCACAAAAAATCATCGCTTCCCCTTCCATCTGTGCACATACACAATCACCAAATATAAGTTTGTAAAAGGAATGCTATAAAGGACTGAGAACATTTATAACTATGTGCATATTAATGCAGATTTTTTTCTTAAAATTTTAGCAATAGCTAGCCCGCAAGTTGAATTCTGGAATTGGGGGAGTCATTTGCATCTTCCAAATAAATAATGTCCTAGCTAGTCTCGGTGGAAATATGGAGAACAAATGTAAAACGAATTGAATTTAAAGATCAAAATATGAACCAAATATTGTTACTAAGATTTTTTTTAAAAAAATTCTGTAATGCTACTTTAATGTGGAAAGCGACAAACCGTGATTGCTGAAAACAATTAACCATTAAGAACATTAAAATCTTGAGAAAGACACCCTGAATTTCAGAACACTTATCAAGGTTTTCTTTGTTAATGATACTCATAGAAAATTCAAAGTCTGCAGTTTGGGCTGCGTATATCTCAGTGAACAGATATATTCTTTAAATCTTATCCTTTAGTAAGGAGGTTCAATGTATACAATGCATAGTTTATTCACATACTTAGAAACCTTTATGAATATAAAGTTTATACGCATAGAGAATATGAAGTTAAAAGATGAAGAAAATGATTTTTTTTTTTTTTTGTGAATTTGGAAATGGATTTCTGTACATGTATTTTAAGAGGACCATGTAAACATACATTTCTATAAAGACGGTGCTCATAAATGATTGTGGAGCAACCTACCTTAAATTCAGTCAAGTTTACATAGCCGCACGATAGAGCTAAAAGCCATCTGGATGTACTACTGTTGAAGTAAAATAAACTGAACAAGATCCAAGACTATCTAGATTTTTTTCCCTTCGACTTTTTGGAATTACTGCTTTTCTTTCTGTCCTTTGAGGTTTCCTGTAATTGTTTTGGGCTAAAATCTCTTTTATCTCTATCTTTCTCATCATCATGTAAGAGTTCTTTCAAGGAGGCCCCACTTGCTTCCTCGGATATTCTTTGAGAATGTTCTTCTATTCTTCTCTTAAGGGCTTCCTGGTATTTTGAAGAAAAACAAAAAAGGGACAAGTTAACACGTTGAAACGAGGAAGAATTAGAGCAAACAAGTGAAATAGCAGAATTTAAGACCTGCATGTAAACTCTCAGGAGAGGTACAAGAATTGCGCGATAATCAACAAAACAGACTCTTTCAAGGTTGCTCTTCAACTGCTTAATAGTTGCAAGATTCTTCATGATCTTTGCATCGACTATGCAAAGCTGCAAAATCAAAAGTTAGTGATTTTGCTGTAAGGTTTGTACAAAAGGTTCTGAAATCGTCTGGAAAAAGATGACAGAAAATGCACAGACCTTTTTATTTGATGGCTCCTCTAGTTTCCTGAAAGCTGATTTTGTGTTGGAGTTATATATGGAACCTGTTCTTGAAATGTTTTCATCATCGTTATCAGACTGATTTATAGAACCATCCGTGTTTCTTGACTCTTTGAAAGCTTCTCCTTTCGCAAGCTCTTTCTTCCACTCTATTGGAATCTCTGCAGAATTCGTCCTCTCCCCAGGTTCATTCTCAATTTCATTTTTGAGGAATTTCAAAGCATCCTGATATTCGAGGAGTTTTTCACCGCAAACGGCATACAGTTCGCTGTATTCCTTTTGTAAGTTCTCAACAATTTTATCAGCTCCAACCTCTCTCTCTTTGGCCAAAGCTTTGATCTTCTCTTTATCATTTTGATCATCATATAACCAACAAATGACAGAATTTACATCAGGCGTATTCCTCGCTTCGCCATCAGGGGAAGAAGAATTTTCAGAGCTGGATAATGGCTCTAGGTTCAAATCAATATATGACAAACTATCATCAAGAGTGACCCCAATTCTGATGTCATCCTCAGGACTATCAAGAAATGCATCACGAGAAGGGCCACGGCTCTCGGCATATGGGCCTAGCTTACAAGCTTTCATGAGGCTCTCCAAGAAATCAAATACTTCCTTCAGCTGCAAAGAATCCAATAGTCGGATACTAAATATCAACTGATCGCCTGTTTGGACATTCTCTAGTTCTTGCGCAGACGGAAGGACTTGAATTTCTCCCATGGCATATTTCAATACCTTGTCAATATGGCTCATCGACAAGCAATTATTAGTGATAAGCATCCAAAAATTGTACTTGATTAGTTTGAGAAGCCTACTTCTCTCCTTGTCACCAGACAACGGCTGTAATAGGTTGTCGTTTGCTGTCATGGCATGAATATCAATAGGCTCCCAAATTGCTTTTACACTTCAATTCTTCAGAAGGTTCTCGCAGATGCTCCTTCAGCATATGCTGCCACATCGATTCAGAATCATTAAACTCTTGATCAGAGCAGCAAGGACAGATCCAGTACTTCCAAGAGCGATTTTCATGGCCAAAGCATAAAGCATCCCCTATGGCTGTAGACTTGAACCTATCCTTGAAGTCTTTAACATTTACCCGAAGAAGATCTCTCCATTCTGTTGGAGTCTGCAGTGATTGTAGATGAAATCGAATTAGAAACGCATCTCCGTCTGTCACCAGTATTGACTTGCACTTTTTAGAAAGATTGGGCCTCTTTATAACATGCAAATGAAATTGTAGATGATCTTGGTGGAGGGCAATCCTTGATGTCGCAGTGGTTTCTTGGCTGATCTCACTGACGCACTCTATTAAGAAATCAGTGGGGTTGGTAACTGCGAGAGCACGCTTGCACTCCTTTTCAGCCTCTTCGTATTTGCGGCGAGAAACAAGATGCCTCACGTAGTTGACAGAGAACTCAAGATTGTTGGGGGAGATTATGGTGGCTTGATGTGCAGAATAGAGGGACTCGCGGAGATTATATAGCATGCACTCTGGATCACGGGTCAGCTTACCAGCGTACATGGCGAGCACCAAACCGCGGACTCGGTGGAAGATGGCAGAGGATTTGTGCTGGTGAGGAACACCATTGAGGACGTGTTGAGCCTTGGCAGGTCCATCTTGATGGAGGACTTGAAGAGCCCGTTTGCAGAGATTCTTCAATACATCTGAAGGAGGAGGAGGATGTGCGTTTGTGGAAACAGGTGGCAAAGAGGGGGAATGAGAAGGGCAGGGTTCTTGAAAATTCTTCACTTTGCCAGAATCAATTGAAGGAGAAGAGTAGGGTTCTTCACATTGTTGGCAGACTGGAAGAGGTTCGTCAGTGAGATTCTTCTCCTCGTTGGAAGGAGGGGAGGGATCTGTGCTTGTGGGAGCAAGTAAAGAAGAGGAATGTTCAGGGCAAGGTTTGTCACCTTGACTGGGGATTTGAGGAGCCTGATCACTGAGGGCCGAAGGTGGAGGATCTGTGCTTGTGGAAGCAACAGCATGTGTCTTCAAGATGGACCTGAGGCTATGTTGGTAGAAGGCCATCCGATCCTTAGCAGTTTTGTCCTTCAAAAAGCGCTCAAAGAAAAAGTCCATCGGGTCAGTAACTGCAAGAGCCCGCTCACACTCCTTGACAACCTCTGGAAATATGCCACCCCAGCAAATGAGAAGGTTGACATAGAAGAGAGAATACTCAAGGTTGGAGGGCGAGAGAATAGTAGCTCTCTCAGCAGATGCAATGGCTTTTTGCAACCAGTGTTTCTTGGCTTCAAGATCCTTATTCCGTGTGTGGGCATACACATAATAGTGGGTTAATGCGCATATACGATGGAAGAAGGCAAAGGAATTGTGACGGCGGTAGTTTGCTTGCTGCAACAAACAGCCAGCCTTAGTGAAATTATTCGAATGGAGTAACACCAGAGCTCTCTCAAAGGTATCCATCACCTCTCTGGAGACAGGACATGAGGAATCATAGAGCTCCTGATCTTGGTGTTGCGCTGGTAAACTCTCGTCGATTAGGGCATCTCTAGCAGTAATCAAGAATGACCGTAGCTGCTCTCTGTAGTAATTGATCCAGCCCTCCTCAGGGGTCACATGGCGAACTTCTTGAAAATTGGAGGCCCTCAAGTAACCAGCAGCGTCAGAGATGGGGTTGATAACAGCAAGAGAACGCTCACACTCCTTGATCGCCACTTTGTATCTTCGGTAGTATGAAACAAGGAGCTTGACAAAAAAGAAAGAGCACTCAAGGTTGAAGGGGGATAGTTGGGTTGCTATTTTTGCACAGCATAGTGCGTCTGGAACACAGAGATCTTCTTCCAAGAATTCAGACTTGAATAACTGGATTACACCAGTGATACGGAGCAAGGCGAGGATGGAAGGGAAATCGCGATACCGGAGGCGAGCATCCTCCATCAAAGAGTCAGCTTTGTCGAATTCTTGAGAATGGAGCAATGGCAGAACGAGCTTGCATATGGACATCAGCCCCCCATCTGTGGGGGAGGAGGAGGAAGAGGAAGGGGCGCAAGGCTGTGATTGGTCCATGGAAATGTGGGAGAAAGAAGGTGGTTTTTTTTTTTTTTCCTTTTCCTGTTTACAAGATTCCAAACACACAGCTTGCTCTATAAGAATGGAGGAGGAGGATGGTTGTTTGTTTTCTCAGTTCTTGATCATTGAGTAGTGTGTTTTATATCCTCAGAGGCCAAGATCAAGCAGCTGGTTAAGAAAGCAGAGGAAGGTGTTGAACCGGACTTACAAACCCGGCTCAAGACGGTTATAACAAACGGTTTAGCTTAACGCTCAAGTGAAGTGGGACCCACTAATGCATACGTGGCAAAGACATTTGGGGGGAAAGTGGGATTTGATATTATAAGAGAATAAAGTGCACCGGAGATGGTGGCAAGGGACTGAGTTGACATTATTGAATTTTCACGTTTTATTGTACTTTTTGTTCTTTGTTAGTTTCCCTAATTGTTTTTGCACTTAATTCTCTCTAGTTCTTTAGTTTCGTCAACAAAACTAGTTTTTTATTCTCTCGTGTTTTCTTAATTGCCCATCATGTTCTTGATGCTGGTTCTTTCAGAATTCAGCTGCTACTTATTGACCTTGGGAATTAGTAACTATTTACAGGGACATTGTTACTTTGTCAAGATCCTGTGTGACGCAGCGCGGAAGTTGTAACCTCGGAATCCACCAAGGGTGTTATCTGAATCCACAAAGAACGGTCTTCGAATCCACGAAGTGCTTCGAATCCACGAAGAATATTGAGGAAAAACAAAATTTTATTAATCAAAAGTTATGCCTCTAGGGCTTACAAGACTCTTCTTAAATAGAAAAAGAAACAAGACTCCTACAAGGATTCTAATTCCTACAAGGACTCTCAACTTACCAAAAATGGTAAAGAATTCCTAAAACATTAAAACTCCTAAAAAGACTTCTTATGAATAGAGGAAACAAATCATGAATCAAAATTAATTTTGTTTCCTAATCTAATTTGACTCTAAAATTGAATTTATTTTCTAATCTATATTTCCTAATCTAAATAGACTCCAACTCAGATTAAGCGTCCTACATCAGTCTCCCCTTGTTGAAAGAAGCTCGACCTCGAGCTTTTATTTGTTAGAATAGTAGCTTCATTGATAAATAATTTTCTTCTCTTGCAATGATCTGCATCTGCCTTATATTTAGCGTTGATTTTCTCCATATGTTGTTTTGTCTCCTCTGCTAGGGCTTCTTCTGTATAAAACTCATGTATGAATCTTTCCCATGACATGTGTATGTAATTGGCAACATGTGGCTCTGTAGTTGGCATGAAAAACTCTTCTAAATATATTCCCTGTTGCTTCCTATATTCTAGTGTCGGCGGTATCATCTCATTGTTGTTGAAATTATTGATGATCATTGCTTCCAAAAAAGAATTTTCTCCCTCATACTCCAAACATAATTCTTTCATCTTCTTTGCCTCGAGCCCTCCACCAAGAAATTCACACATACCATCAATTGTCTCACTCTCTATTTTATCTTTCTCCTCTATCGGGACAACATCAATATGTTGAATATCACTCTCAACCACTTTAAGAATATCATGCATATTATCCATCTTCACTATCATATCACCATCATGCATTTCATGCATATCGAGTGTTTGCACCTTAGGAGGAATTTCGGTAGAGGCATGTTCTTCTTTTTCAGTTACAACCAAGTCACATACCTCTTCAGATTGCTTCAAGTTTTCTGTTAAAGAATTGTTGTTTGTCACCAATAGTTCCTTCTTCTCAGTAGTCTTTATCTTATATGACTCCTTTTCTGTAAGAGGCTTGAGCATAATTCGTCGCCCATCTTTCTTGAAGATATAAACATTGTCTCTGCTCTTATGGATAGCTCCATTATTGAATTGCCATGGCCTACCTAAAAGCATATGACAAGTATCCATCTCGACAACATCACACAAAACCTCATCAAAATAAGTTCGACCAATAGAAAAAGATACCCAACACACTTCATCATTCTGCACATCATTGCCCTTGTGAATCCAGTCGATCTTAACAAGAGGTGAGTGTTTCTCTGTCTTCAAACCTAACTTATTCACCATACGCCGAGAGACAAGATTCCTTCCACTGTGACTGTCAATAATAACATTACAAATCTTCTGCATCACGGTACATCTCGTACGAAAGATATTATGCTCTGGAGGTGGTTCTTCTTTCTTTATTACTTCTTCACTGCTCTTCCCAACTCTTATGTCTTGCTTAAGATCATTGTCGTTGTTCAATTTATCATATGGAGTCGGATCACGTCGTTGGCGACCATCAACGCGATTTTGAACTCCTACCGTGTTCAGACGCTCCACTGCCGACGCAAGTCGCTCTATGACAGTCTTCATCTGATTAACACCGATCTTCAGCACGTCGAACTCAGTTCGAGAAATATGGGCTTCATCACCTGCCATCGGATCGGAGGAACAAGGCTCTGATACCAATTGACGCAGCGCGGAAGTTGTACCCTCGGAATCCACCAAGGGTGTTCTCTGAATCCACAAAGAACGGTCTTCGAATCCACGAAGTGCTTCGAATCCACGAAGAAATATTGAGGAAAAACAAAATTTTATTAATCAAAAGTTATGCCTCTAGGGCTTACAAGACTCTTCTTAAATAGAAAAAGAAACAAGACTCCTACAAGGACTCTAATTCCTACAAGGACTCTCAACTTACCAAAAATGGTAAAGAATTCCTAAAACATTAAAACTCCTAAAAAGACTCCTTATGAATAGAGGAAACAAATCATGAATCAAAATTAATTTTGTTTCCTAATCTAATTTGACTCTAAAATTGAATTTATTTTCTAATCTATATTTCCTAATCTAAATAGACTCCAACTCAGATTAAGCGTCCTACATCACTGTGATCGGTCGTCAG